CACGCCATGGCAAACGCACGCTTTGCATGACAGTCTCAACTAAGCAAACCTGGCAGCGTTAGATCCACCAAGCATAACTGTAGGATGGGTGTGACGAACTATGATCAGCGAATACCCACTCTTGTGTACGACGGTTGGCAGAAATACATCCAAAGCATCTGGGCATTCGGCGCAAAGAGACTTCGCTCCCTCCGTTGGCTTACCGTACATGCGGTGGCAATGCCGAGGTCCTCGTCGTGCTAAGAAAAACTCGCTGCGTTCCGTGGTCCCTTCGACTGTAGAGGACGAGCAAGCTCCGCCAGTAGCCCTGGCGCGATTGTCTAGGTAACGTAGCTTGTGAGCTCTGCAGCGCCGTGCCAAATCGCCTCTCGTTAGACTGCCACTTGCGACTCGACCAAGCCAGTGAAATTGCGCTGCTGCACAAAAGGCTGGGACATGTGCCTCCGAGCCTCCTTCCCCAAGGTCGCGACGCTACTGTGGAGCGCGGCGCTCGCGCCGTCGCTCTCGAACGCCCCCCCGACGGCTTGGCAGGCGCCCGGGCGGAATGGGCCGTCAGACCCCCCGCCGCCGCCGAGCCTCGCGCGGCCTGCGACGTCGCGCCGCCGCCGCCGCCGAGGGGCGCCGCGCCCTCGGCCGCCGCGGCGCCCACAGTGTGAGGCTGCTTCTGGATGTCCTCCTCGCTGGGCTGCCCATCAGCCAGTGCCGCAGAGGACGAAGCCGCCGTGGCCGATGCTGAGATCGAACCAGCTGGCGCGCCAGCCGCTGCCGTCTTGGGCTGCGCCTGATCCGCCGCCATCTTCGCGTCATCCTCGTCGAGCTTGCCACCGTCGACAGGCTGGTCGGTGCCGTCGGTCTTCCTCCTCTTGGCCATGCAGATCTTGTCCTGCAGCACCTTGAGGTTGTTATGCCACTTGGTGACTTCCTCAGATTTGGTGACCACGCTCTCCTATGCCTTCTCAAACTCGCACTAGACACGCTTGAGCTTGACATTTTTAAGCTGGACTATACTCCAGTGAATCTAAGCTTTTGAAGAACTGGTGACGTCGAAAAGCAGCGCCGCTGGCGCCATGGCCTCTTCCCTGCCTCCAAGTGCCATTCCGGCCTCTTGGGCAAAAGGCTAAGGCCGCCGTCCTCTTGTTGATCTCAGCGAGCGCGAGGTTCCTGGCAGCCTCGCTCTTGCGCTCCTTGGCCTTCTGACGAATGCTCTGACGCTTGAGCACCTGCGCCGCCGCCTGCTTGTACTTGGCCGATGCGTCGCGCCACGCCCCCTCGGCACGCCGAACGACTTCATTCGCAACAGGCCCAGCCGCGGGAGATCCCGTCGCTTGCTGAAAAGCGACGGTCTGGTCAGCCACAACTTTCGTAGACAATAGGGCCGATAGCCAACGCCATGGCCGCCGTGAGGGCCTGGATGGTGGCCTTCGCAGAAGCACGGGAAATCGTACATGTAGTGGGTGCTGTATTCTTCAGCTCGGGCTGGGGCGTGCAAAACTAGCTGGCCTTATCCGTTTGCAAGATGACATCGCTTTATCCAGGAGGAGGAGGAGGAGGAGGAGGAGGAGGAGGAGGAGGAGGATGAGGAAGAGGGGGAGAAGGAGGAGGAGGAGGTGAGGAGGAGGAGGAGGAGGTGAGGTGAGGCGAGCTGACATGAAATGAGAAAGCGGCCTGAAGGCAGGTTCGGTCTGGCTACACTGGTCAGCCGTCGGAGGCATCCGATGAAGTCTCCCCGAAATCGTCACGGGGCACGTCTGGCCTCTCCTCGGCTTCCTCCTTGAAGAGTCTCGCCCCCCTCCGCTCGGATGGCGGGGGGCTCTTCCTCCTCATGGCCGAAAGCCCTCAACACCTCGGCTCTGGACGTCATCCCCCGAAAAGTACCCCCCCGAAACCCACAATCAACACCCATGTCCTGAACCGAGGTGCTGGGAACCGACTCGGCTCAGGACGGCAACCATTCGCAAACATACCGAGATCGGGATCACTGTGGGGGGCGAGGCGCAAGTCCTTCAGACTTTGCTTATGAAGCGGTTAACGGCTCGCCGTGATTCGACGAACCTGATCGACCAAGCCAGGAGGAGGAGGAGGAGGAGGAGGAGGAGGAGGAGGGGGAGGAGGAGGAGGAGGAGGAGGAGGACGAGGAAGAGGACTGCTACTACTACATCCTCTCGGGACGAATCTTCTGAGCAAATCTGAAGCCACCCTAGGAACGGCCTGTAGCCGGGATTTTGGGCCTCCAGCCCACCCAATTGGTCCCGAGGGTTTCAGAACCGCAACCAGCCGACCACGACCCCCCGCAATCAGGGGGGGCAGGAGGAGAACGCCAGCAAGACAGGAAGCCGCGCAGCAGCACACAAAGAGAGGAGCCAGCGAGGAGCGAGAGGGAAGGAGAGGAAGGGGCAGCGGCACGGAGGAGGAGGAGAAGGAGGAGGAGGAGGAGGGAGGAGGAGGAACGATGAGGAGGAGGAGGAAAAGGAGGAGGATGAGAAGGATGAGGAGGAGGGCGAGGGATGAGGAGGGACGAGGACGAGGACGAGGAGGACGAGGACAAGGAGGAGGAGAGGAGGCGGAGGAGGGGAGGGGAGGAGGAGGAGGAGGAGGAGGAGGAGGAGGAGGCGGAGGAGGAGGGGAGGAGGAGGAGGAGGGAGGAGGAGAGGAGGGAGGAGGATGAGGAGGAGGAGAGGAGGAGGAGATGAGGAGGGGGAGGAGGAGGCCGCGCCGCCGCCGGTGGGACGGGCCGCTCGTCGGCGCGCGGCGAGCGGCGTGCCGCGGCCCCCTGGCGAGCGGGCGCCCCGCCCCGCAGCTCAGGGGCGCCCCAGGCGGCCCCCCCGCCCGCCAGCGGCGGGGCCTCGGTCGACACGCCGCCGCCGCCGCCGCCGTTGCCGCCGCCGTCGCCGCCGCCGCCGCCGCCCTTGCCGCCCTCGTCGCCCTCGTCATCGTCGTCGTCGCCGCCGCCGCCGCCGTCGCCTTCCCGTCGCCTTCGTTCGCGCCGCCGCCGTCCGTCGTCGTCGTCGCCGCCGCCGCCGTCGCGTCGACTTCCCGTCGCCGCCGTCGTCGTCGTCGTCGTCGTCGTCGTCGTCGTCGCCGCGCCGCCGCCGCCGCCGCCGCCGCCGCCGTTGCCGCCCTCGTAGCCCTCGCGTCCCTCGTCCTCGTCGTCGTCGCCGCCGCCGTCGCCGCCGCCGTCGCCTTCGCCGTCGCCGCCGTCGTCGTCGTCGTCGTCGCCGTCCGTCGTCGTCGTCGTCGTCGTCGCGTCGTCGTCGTCGGTCGTCGTCGTCGTCGTCGTCGTCGTCCGCCGCCGTCGCCGCCGCCGCCGCCGCCGCCGCCGCCGCCGCCGCCGCCGCCGCGCCGCCCTCGCCGCCCTCGCCGCCCTCGTCGTCATCGTCGTCGTCGTCGTCGCCGCGGCCGCCGCCGTCGTCGTCGTCGTCGTCGTCGTCGTCTTCGTCGTCGTCGTCGTCGCCGCCGCCGCCCTTGTCGCCCTCGTCGTCGTCGTCGTCGTCGTCGTCGTCGTCCTGCTGCGGCCGTATTTCTGGCTCCTCCATCTTCTCCATAGCGAGGCCCCCTGGAGGCCGAAACATGGACCCCCGGTCGTGATTTCTTCTATGACGCGAGCATGTCTGGGCTTCGCTCCTTCAGAGTAGGGGCTTCCTAAATGGAATGCGAGTAGGTAGGGTCGGAAGATTGCGCTGCATCGCCGATGTATCGCCGATGCGTCGGCGATTCACCAGCGACGTCGGCGATGCATCGGCGCTGTCGTCGTGGAGGAAATTGGGCTCCACATCGATTCTCGCCGTAGATGCTGTGGCGATGCGGCGCGATCCTCCAACCCCATCTATACTCTGACCCCATCTGGGGGATCCAGACCTCCCCTGAGATCTGACGTTGCGAAGAAAATGAATCATCGCGAAAAATCGTGACCCGAGCCCTAAACCCCATCTTCATGTGGCATTCTTCCGAGCGAGATCGATCTGTGATAATCCCAAGGCTCAAAACCTGGCGATCACCGCCCAATGTGAAAACATTGCAACGCCCGGATCTGAAGGTCCCGTGCGGCTTGTTTTCCGATACCGATTCAGCTGCCGCCCGGACCTTTCACGGGTTGCGCTCTGGCCAGAATTCCGAGGCGAATCCAACAGAGGCGATGAGGGCCTCCTGGGATGTCCACACATGCTAGAGCGAGGCAAGGGCAGCGGCCAGACAGAGGGAAGCCTCCCCCGCAGACCCCCGACGTCATGATTCTTTCATCCCCAGGAGCCTCCACCCCTTCCCGGGGACCGGCTTTTCCTCCTGAATCGTTCCTGGACGGCCCCGAGGCCCAGGAAGGGCCCCTGGAGGCCGCGAGCAGCGCCAACCCCTCCCGCCGTGACCTCTCCTCTCCCAGCGCGAGGGGGGGCCCGGGCCCGCGGCCTCTCCTTCGACCCCTCCGCCCGCTCACGAGGCCGTCAGGTCGCTTGCGCGGGCGCTGGCGGCCGCCGGGTCGGGCGGCGGGAAGCGCGGCGGGGGCTCCGCGGCCCCGCGCCCGCGGCCGCGCGGCTCGGCGCTGCGCGCCGCGGCGCCGGCGTCCTCGGCGGGCGGCGTTTCCGACGCTGCCGCGGGTGCCGCGCCGGCGGGCGGCGGCGACGACGACGACGACGACGACGACGACGACGACGACGACGACGACGACGACGACGACGACGACGACGACGACGACGACGACGACAACGACGGCGTCCCCACCGGTGCCGCGCCGGAGCTGGAAGGAACGACTTGGGCAGCTCACGCGCGACCTGCCCAGACCCCCTCGCGCGGTGGAAAAAAATATCACGACGGAATGTCTTTCGTCGTTGTCGGCCTCCAGGGGCCCTCACTGGGCCTCGGGACCGTCCAGGAAACGACTCAGGATGAGGAACCGGTCCCCAGGAAAGGGTCCGGACTTTTGAAGACCACGTCATGGAAACAATCATGACGCCGGGGGTCAGGGTAGCGCGGGCAGCTTGCGCGCCAATGCCAGCACAAACGACCCCGTTGGTTGGCGTCGCTCATACATATGTAGTTGGCCCCGGAGCCGAGCCTGGCCAAGCCCCGCCTGGGCCCAGAATCCGGGCACGCGCCCTCCCTCGCCCAGACGAGGAGGAGGAGGCGGAGGAGGAGGCGGAGGAGGAGGAGGAGGAGGAGGAGGAGGAGGAGGAGGAGGAGGGGAGCGCGCGTGCGCCGCGCCCTGGGCCCAGGTCGGCCGGGGTCCGGTGCATGCCCGCGCGGGCCTTACTTCTCGACGTGGGGGCCGAGCTTCTTCCTCGCAGTCGCTTGCCAAGCAGCGTGGCCGCGGAGAAATTCGAGCCGCCTCGGGGGGCGTCTGCGAGGCACGGCTCGCGCCCTGAAAGCCATGGCGGCATGCAGTCCGTGCGGAGGGCCACGACTCAGCGAAGCCGGGTCACGCCCTCTCGTGCTCCTCCGTCTCGCCCAGCACCCCCCGAACCTCATCGACACACAGCCCCCGGACCCCCCTCCCCACGACTTGGTGGCTAGTGGTCGGGCTCGGACTCGGGCTCGGGCTCGCGCTCGGGGTGGGGCCGGGGCTGGGGCTCTGGCTCGTGCAGGAGCTGACCCGCCACCGTGCCGTGGGGCGCGGAGTGGAGTTCTCTCCAGATCCTCATGTGTCCTCTGTTCTCTGTGCTCAGGACTCTGGGATTATAGTATTCTCAGGGCTGGGGCCCCAAATTCTCAAATTTCCTGGGCGTTCCCGAGCGTTCTTGGACTGGCCCGCATGACTGTCCACAAGCCTGAGGGCCCCAAGATAGGCCAAGAGGGCCACAGCGCCCAAGCCCAAGAGGGTCCCAGAGGCCTCCAAAGCAGCCCGAGGGCGCTCCAAGACGCCCAAGATGGCCCCAAGAGGCCCCAAAGAAGCCCCAAGAGAGCTCCAAGAGGCCCCCAAGAGGCAACACTTATTGATTTTCCCTGTGCTTTTCCCAACCATCCTGTGGTGTTGGCTCCTCGTTTTTAAGAGACAGCGCCCCGCGTCTCCTCCTCCTTGCTGCTCCCGCTCCTTCCTCCGACTCCCTCCTCTCATCCCTGCCTCTCTCTGCCCTCCGCACCCCACGGTTTCGTGGCCCCATAGGGAGCTTCACCTAAAGCTCCAAAGGCAGCGCCCGCATGGCACCACCGCACCCGTTTCGGCACACCCCTCTCACGTTCGGGGTCCCATAGGGAGCTGCAACTAAGGCCCCAGTGGCAGCGCCCGCATGGTACCACCGCGTACATTTCGGCACACCCCTCACACGTTTCGTGCCCCACAGGGAGCTCCACCTAAGGCCCCAGAGGCAGCGCCCGCATGGCACCACCGCACCCGTTTCGGCACACCGGTCCCCAAACGGCCCCAGATGGCCCCAGAACGGCCCAAGAGGCGCCCAAGACGGCCCAAAGAGGGGGCCACGACGGGGTATCCGAATGGACATTTCGAGCTCTCGGCCCCAGGAGGCCACAAAGGGGCCGCAAGAGCCCCGAGGCCCCCAAGAGTCTTCCAGGAAGCCCCAAGAGGCCTCCTGGAGGCTCCCAAGAGGTCCCCCCAGAGGCTCCCAAGAAGCCCCCAAACTGCCCCCAAGAGGCCCCCGAGAGCGCAGCCAAGAGACCCCAAGAAACACCCCTGAGGACTGTGACCCGCAACCCAGGCACGGGGGCGGGATAGGCCGAAGGCCATTGGATATCCAACATCCTCGACCAAGAACGTGGCCCTTGATCTACGTTGCACGGAGCGCTCCTCTGTCGTGCTACGTCAAGGTCGAATCTTCATACTCCCCCTTCAGCTCCTCATGATCCTCCTCCTCCTCCTACTCCTCCTCCCTCTTCCCTCGGCCTCCGCCTCCACCCGCATCCCCCTCGTCTTGCTCCTCCCTTTGCTCCACCTCTTGCTCTTGCTCCTGCTCCCCACCTTCGAACGCCGAACCTTGCCTAACCGTCTGGCTCGGACGTCGTCGCTGTCAGGCACAGACCGCCGCTCCAACGCTTTCTGGAACGCCCCCTTGGCTTTCTTCGCCCACGCGTCTCTCACAACAGTTGGAGGCCGCCCACATGGGCCGGAACAGATGGGGTCGGAGGCTCGGACCACATCGCCGACGCATCGGCGACGTCGGGGTTGATGAAACCGGGGGCTCTGGATCGGGCCGCGTCGCCAATGCACCGACATCGGGGGCTGCTAGTGGTGCACCTGGCGGAAGGTGCCCCCGGATTCTCGCTCCCTCTCTCAGCTCCCAGGGGCCCTCCAGGCCTCGTTGAATGGGCCCTGGGACACACAAAATAAATACAGGATTCCCCATATTTTCCAATATTTTCTGGGTTTTTGTCTTTTCCCCCCCTTCCCATATTTTCACATATTCTTCGAGGAATCGACGATTAACTGTGTCTGTGTGTTTGTTTCCCTCCTGACTCGTGAGGGGTGCTCTGGAGGCCTTTTGAGCCTTTTCGGGAATCCTGGGGGCACCCTGGGCCAGGGGCACTTCTGTAGGAGGCGCACCCGGGGGGTAAGTGAGAAGGAGCGGGCCTGCTCAGAGGGCTCGGAAGTTCCCAAACCTTCTGAGAAATCTTCGAGGCCTTCCCCGAAGGCGCAAAAAGCCTCTCGGAAGGCGCACGGGCCTCTGAGAAGTCCTGTCGCCTTCTACGAAGGCCTTCTCCTTCTCAACTACCCCTCCCTGGCCATCGCTCGGACGTCCATTCCCTGAGTTTTTTTCGGTTTCGTGCGCGTTTTTTTTGGCAAATGATTAAGGATGCTCCTCGATGGTCCTCGCCGAAAGAAAAATGCACACGTCCGAGCGATGCCAAGCTCCTCGCTCGCCGCCGATTCTGGCAGCGCCTGGCGACGGTGCAGCACGAGCCTCCGGCCCTACCCGGCCTGGACCCGTCTGGGCGGCCCAGATCAGTGCGGCTGGCAAAACGGCCCGACAAGGGTCGAATAGGGGATCAACTGCAGAATGGATGTGTTCCAAACCTGATTCCCCCGCCGAGTACACAGGAAGCGCGCAGCGTGTTCGTAGATCTGCGGGGCATGGTGCGCAGTTTTTTCCGCAGCCCCGGCGGGGAAATCAGTTCTGCGGCCGATCCCCTGCTCGATGGGAAGACCGCCAGGCAGGCCGGGAGCGCGACGCGAGCGCAGCTGCTGCAGGCGAGCGCGCGGAGGCGCGCGGCCTGGCCCGAGCGCGGCGGAGCGAGCCGCATCATGGAGGCGAGCCCGAGGCCAGCACCGCCAGCGGACAGAGCGCGCGGGGGAGCTCCGGGGAGGCGAGCGAGGGACGAGCGAAAGAGAAACAACTGCACAAACATAGACTTTCGACGCTCCGCGCGGATTTCTCGGACCGGCGCCTGGACGCCCCTGGCGGCGCCTCCGGCGCCGCCCCTGACGCGCTCCGCGTACCAGGGAGGGGGGCCCAGCGCAGATCCAAGAAATCCGCGCGGACCGTCAACAGTTTATGTTTATGCCCTTTTTTGTTTCGCCAGACGAGGGATGGAGGAAACATGCATCAGACACATACGAGAGAGAAGAACCTTGCTATCATACGCCGGCCCAGCGGGCCAGAGGCGTGCTAAGATATCCAGTGAGAGTTTCATCGTGTTTCTAATTCGCGCGCGCGTGGCGGCCCCTGGGGGCCCCCGGACGGAAAATACCTTGGCAAGGTCCTGGTAAGCTCCCTGCAAAGTCCCGCCAGGTCTGGGTCACAGATGCCGGAACTCCTGGGCGCGGCCCCGGGGGCCCCCGGAGCGCCCCACGAGCGCCCCAAGGAGGCGCCAAATAAGCTGCATGCCCCACGGCTTCAGGGCAAGAGCATTCCCAGATGGCCCAAGTTGGTCTCAAGAGGCGCCCAAGACGCCCCAGGAGGGCTCCAAGACGACCCCAAGAGCCCAAGAGGGCCCGAAGAGGCAACAATCATTGGTTTCCCATGGGATTTTGGAATCTTTTGGCGTTGCCGAGAGGCCTCCAAGATCGGCCCAAGGCAGCCCAAGATGCTCCTAGGACGGCCCCAAGGCGGCCCAATAGGTCTCCCCAGAGTCGGCGGTGAGCGAGGGGATAATTGAGAAGGAGAAGGCCTTCTCACAAGGCGGCAGGACTTCTCAGAAACCCTCGCGCCTTCTGAGGAATTGTCTGTGCCTTTGTGGAAGGCTTAGGGCACTTCTCAGAAGGAGGGGGGACTTCCGAGCCTTCTGAGAAGGCCCGCCCCTTCTCACGTCCCCCCTGGACTCGCCGCAGAAAAAACGCCGAAGATGGTCCCAAAACCTTACGTTGCATCCTCGGGGGACCTTGTGTGTCCCGTCCCGGCTCGTGGGATCCGTGTCTTCTGAGCCTTCTGAGCAGGCCCGCCCCTTCTCGCTTCCCCCCCCTCGCTCGTCGCCGAAAGACGGCCC